CCCCCCCCCCCCCCCCCCGCCACACTGCTTCCCCCTCAGTAACCCAGCGCCATTCGTTCCTCACTGCCTCACCTTCCCCCCCATCACCTCAGAGACATCCTTTGACTCTGCCATTTTGCTCTCCATGGATTTGGCACCTCATGAAGCAAATCCCTTTCCCTTTCCTGTGTCTGTTCCTGAACCCCGAGCTGCCTGCCTCTCAGCCCACTGATTGGGCACCTCAGCTCCGATCTCAGCCACCCTGCGGCCTGACCTCTGCTCTCTCTCCCAGCTGGCTATGGGCAGGGAAGCAGCAGCTTCGCAGCCTCAGCACAGGCCAAGTTTGGCCGCATCCCAGGGCTTTGTGATGGATTTGCCAGCCCAGCGCACTGACACTCACTCCTAAGCTATTATTAGGGAGGAACTACTGCTCAGTGAAGGTACATCTACATTAGCTCGTTAGTTCGAGCTAGGTAGGGTAATGAGGGCAAGTGGAGTTACAAATGAAGCCCGGGATTTAAATATCCCGGGCTTCACTTGCATGTTCCCGGGCGCCGCCATTTTTAAATCCCCCTTAGTCCGAACTCCATGCCCGCGGCTACACGCGGCACGGAGTAGGTAGTTCGAATGAAAGATCCCAAATCGAACTACCGTTACTAATGAGGAGTAACCCTAACCCCTCCCTCATTTCACCTATATTTCCCTAGCCTTGATCACTTTTCCTGACTCACCTCTGCACCCTGGCCTCTTCCCACGCCTGGCCACCCCTACCCTCTACCCCAGACCCTCCCACTGCCTGGCCACCCTTGCCTTGTAGCCAGTACCCTGTCCACCCCCGCCACCCTCCACCCCAGAGCTCTCCTCCTGCCCGGCAACCTAGATCCCGTCCTCTTCTGACCAACCCCCACCCTGCACCCTAGACTCCTCCTCCCTGGTCACCCGCTGCCTTGTACCAAGATCCCTTTCCCTGCCTGGCCACAGCCCTCCCTCCATCCCAGGCTTCTCTCCTGCCTGTCAACCCTCTGCTCTCCATCTCAGACCCTGCCTGGCTACCTCTAGCTCCTCGCCTCCACCAGGCTATTCTTACCACAAGCATCTCCTCCTTCCTGGCCACCTTTAGCCCAACCATCCCCTCCCTGCACCCTAAGGTGTCCCCTGCCTGTCCAGCTGTCCCCCACCTGTAGGAAGCAGGTCCCAGTGGGCGTGTTCTCCTTCAGGGACACGTTGTAGAAGTTGCTCCTGAACACAGGCTCATTATCATTGACGTCCTGCAGGGCCACGTACACCACAGTTGTGGAAGAGAGGACAGGAATCCCTCTGTCCATGACCAGTACTGTCAGCTGAGGTTCAGGATCCTTCTCATAATCCAGGGGGGCAGCAGTGGTGATGATGCCTGTGGCTGGGTCAATGGTGAACCAGTTAGAGTGGGTGTTCTGGCTGTGTAGAATGCTGTACCGTACCTCCCCATTGGGACCCTGGTCCTTGTCACGGGCTGTCACCTGCAGGACAAAGCTACCTGGATAAACCACCTCAGGGATGCTCTGCTTGTATTC